ACTTCCTAATGTGCATTAACCACTAGTGGTTAGTATTGCGTGTAGGGCTGGAAGAGGTAGGCTTAAAGCAAATCTTTGCAAATATACATAAAAGCGAATGTATTTTGCAAGGCAAGAAACATTACTTGTTGACAAACCCTGGATTTAGCACTACAAATGCTGTCACAGTTCTCAATCTTTGTCCAAGACTATGTAATATGAGACCCTTATCTGCTTCAACTGTATAAATTGAAATGTGTGGCATGCAGAACAGCACACACAATGGTAATTTGTTCATAGATTTTTAGGTTTATCTTCTCTGAGGGCTTATATGATATAGGCCACAAACTTCTCCAATAACATTTTTGATAAACCTATTGCTCTACATAACCGAGAGAGAGATCCAGTATTGATTTTAAGTCAGGGTGAATTTTAGGAAGTTAGACTATTGGTCTTGTACAGTACTGGTATAACATGCGTGGTATAATGTTTAATAGCAACAGAAGTCACTGTGAGTGAGCAGAACTGTTCATAGTAGGTGCTCTTCCCAGTAATGAGTGTGCAAAAATGGAGCAGAGCTTTCTTTCATTTTTTTATTTCACATAGCTAAAGACATGATGGACTTCAGCAAAGTTTGTCCTAAAACAGGGGTGGGCAAAATGTGGCCCGCGGGCCAGATGCAGCCCACCAGGCCATTCTATCTGGCCCGCGGGGCCCCTAAAAAATCGAGAAAGTTAATATTTATCTGCCCCTGGCTGCCTGTCATATGGCCCTCGATAGCTTGCCAAACTCAGTAAGCAGCCCTCCACCCGAAATAATTGCCCGCTTCTGTCCTAAAATATCATTTACATAAAATAAAAACACTCTACTGCATTCTATACAAGTCTAGACTTTATTAAAGAATGTTATTAATATTTTTAGCATTTGTTAAAATGTGGCTTGACAGTCTTATAAACATGCATGAAGAAGTTTAAAATTGAGCCCTTAATCATCTTCAGCTCAAGTGAGTTAGAAAACTAAACTTGCTTTGGAAAATTTAATGAGGAAACATTTACTTTTATTCGCTACTTACAGGTTCCAACATGGCTTGTTGGAAAAAAATGTCCATGCCCATTTTTTGTTTCAACTTCTGTCAGCTTTTCTAAAAACCACACTAAGTTAATGAAGTATTAACAGTGGCTACAGTATAAATTTCTTTGCTGGCTTTGATGTTAGGAAACAAATTAGTAAATTGATCATGTTCTTCAAGGTGTTAGGTCAAGCTTGTAAATTACTTGCTAACAGAATCAGAATAATTCACTCTGAAACCAAAATGAGTGTCTGAACATCCTTTTGCTCTGGTTTCAATAAATTAGGAATTAGGGGTTGCATCTTAATTTTGAACCAGTACAGCATTCATATGTAAACAAGGACTGGTATAATAACCCTTGCCTCAGCTGCGTTCAGTCTAGATCAGAGCTGTCCAACTTCTGGATTCCAGGGAGCTAGCCACCTTGGTCCTCCCCCACAGCCAGTCCATTCCCTCCCCCCCACGTGTACAGCACACCCACTCCCCTCCCAGCTGCACACATTATGCAGGCAGCCCACCTGCAGGACACAGCATGGGCAACCTGGCTTCCTCCTTTGGGGAGTACATAGCCTGGCCCTCTCCTGCCCTCAGGAGCAGAGGCAAAAACCAGAAGCTGGAGGAGGGAAGGGGGAGCCTGGACACTGGCCAAGGCTGCCATTAATGCAGTGGGCAGTGACAGCCAGGCAGGAGCCTGTGGGCTGCATGTTAACTCTGTGGGCTGCCAGTTAAACAGCCCTGGTCTAGGTGGAACAAACTGGGTGAGGTGGGGAAGAGAGGCAGCATACTTCATCAGTGCCAAGTGCCATATTGTAGCTCTTTAAGCATTATGTTTTGTTTGCTTTGGCCTCTTAAATGGGGCCAGGGAATGAATTAAAACAGGGTGGGCAAAATACGGCCCATGAGGCCATTCTATCCGGCCTGCGGGGCCCCTAAAAAATTTAGAAAATAAATATTGATCTGTCTTTGGTTCCTGTCAAAAATGACAGGGGCCAGGGGCAGTAGGACCCAGGGGAAGCCCGGTGGGCTCCCACAACAGCAGGGTCTGCTCGTCCCTGCCCGCTAGACAAAAGCCCCAGGAGGGGCTTCTGGCCTGGGACCATGTGGCTGCACCACACCCCAAACTCAGGTAAGGGAGGACCCTGGGCAGGGAAGGAGCACAGGGAAAAGCGGCCTCTCACCCACTGCGTGTCTAGTGCTCCCTGCTCCAGCCACTCGCAGCCTGTGCAGGGCTGTCCTGAGCAGGCACAGACGACCTCACGTGGGCTGCGAGCGGCTGCCGAGCGCCGGCCACAGGGCAGGGGGGGGGCTGG